TCATGCTAGATGCAATTATATATATATATATATATATATGTGTGTGTGTGTGTGTGTGTGTGTGTGTGTATGTGTGTGTGTGTGTGTGTGTCATTATCAATATATATCGAGACCCGACAGGATGTTAAGATAAAGTTTCACTTTATTAAAGCTAGGGACTGAGATATGGATAAACAGAGAGAAATTCTGGTATTTTCACTCTTGTATTGTTTGATTTTCATTGGTCAATTGTGTATCAGGTGCATTATGATCGTAAATAATGCTTTATGTGTGTAAGTTTGCAAAATTCTAGTTTGTTTAGATTGGCATCACATGATAATGTGTATTCGTAATTGTGTGTGTGTATTTCTAGTAGGCGCACTTCTGGTGTTTTCACTTTTCAGTGGTTTGGTTTTCCTTGACCAATCGTGTATTACTTACATTAAAACCGTAATTATTACTATACGTATGTAAGTTTATGAAAAATTCTACTCTGTCTATGTGAGTTTTAGATGATAATATATATTCGTAATTGTGGGCGTACGTGTATGTCTAGTAAACATTATATTGGGTATAACATTTTTATGTACATAGTGTTTCTTTTAGATAGAAATTTGTTAGATTCTTTAAGAATTGATTCAATAAATGTTGGCGATGTAATATAATGTTTTAGGCGCGTGTTTGTAATAATGTTATTATTAAGCTTTCAAAGTATTTTCTCTTTAAAGAATTGTGTTTTTTTTTTTAATTAGGGTGACATTATTTTAATTATATATATATATATATATATATATATATATATATATATATATATATATAGAGAGAGAGAGAGAGAGAGAGATAGATAGATTTTTAGATATATATTTTATCTTATATATATATATATATAAACTATATATAAAAAATTTATATATATATATAAATATATATATTATATATATAAATATATATATATATATATATATATATATATATATATATATATATTATAAATATTTTATAAATATATATATATTTATAAAAAGATTGGATAAACATAAAATGTTTTTATATATATATATATATATATATATATATATATATATAATTACGCGCTAATACCCTTGGGAAAGGTATGAAATATTTTTATATATATATATATATATATATATATATATATATATATATATATATATATATATATATATATATATATATATATATAAAAGAATGTATAAACATAAAAATGTTTATTTATATATATATATATATATATATATATATATAATTATGTGCTAATATCCTTGGAAAAGCTGTGAATCCTCTTCTTCTACCTCCAGCTATGGGTAAATAACAGGACAGACTGGGTTCTATAGCCTTGATGTCAATTGGTTAGAAGAAGGACAACTCTGAATTCACCACTATAATCAAATCTCATGTGCTGTTGTCGAGCTGTCGGTCTCTAGAACTGATCTGTTTGACCTCATACGTCGAATTCGACAGGGAGTATATATATATATATATATATATATATATATATATATATATATATATATATATATATATATATATATAATTACGTGATTATTGTAATTATATAATTTGTAAGGTTCAAATATTTATATTTTCTGTTTATATTTATTTTTAAATTACATAATTACATGTACGCTTTATTTTATTGCATTTTATATTTTAACATATTTTTTAGATTAAACTGTGGCGATATTTATCGCATATTACAAATACCTGGTAAATGGAGTAGGAAAGAGCATCAAGTAATTTCTGAGAAACGCGGAGATTGAAAATGAAAGTAGAATACAACATGTGACTGTGGGATAGGCATAAATCAATTATTTTGCAGAAGACAAGTTAAACCCTTATTTGTGTTATGAAAGATTAAACAGCTGTTAATATCTCAACGTTGCCGAGCAACCGGTCGACTCATTGCTTTAATTTCTACAATCCTTAATAGAGTTTCGTTCAATAATTTATGGCTATGAATCATCATCACCTGTTACACTTTCTGTGTGATGTCGAAATAACAATTCACTATAGGCTAAGCACCTTAGGACGAAGGAGACTTTGCCGGTGATCGCATCAGATCCGGGATCTGCACCTTCTCTCAGATCATATTTGGTTAGAGGGAAAGAATAAAAGTTATTATTTGAAAGACTAAAATAGAAAGCACACTAACACAATGACTCATTTAACTGCGACATTTTAAAACAACGTCTTTATCCAACCCAACAGATGATAACAGTTCCATTGTCAGGAACTGTGTAGGCCCAAAAAAAAAGGAAAGGAAAGTTGTCCTTCAGAAAGATGCCGAATAGTATTATACAAAATAAATATAAGAAGGACATTTATATGTACCATCAGAAAAACAAAGTTGAAATTTCTATGGCTCAGAGTGAGGTAAATGGCATTCAAAAGATTGATACAGGTAATAGGGGCATAAATGCAACAAAATCACAAAGATGCAAGGGCTTACTGGGTGACAGAGAATATGAAATAAAGAAAAACATTATTAAGGGGAGAGAACAATAAAAGAACAAGAATTAAGAAGACAGAAGATAAAGATTGACATTGCATTTAATTTTTTGACGATCAAAGTTGACGGCAAAGCAAGTAGTCAGGAGTAAGAACTGTTCGAGAAGAAACTGTTTACATAGAACTTACGGTTACATCTAGCAATTTCAATTCTAAAATGATGAGACCTTGCCGCCAAACTAGTACTGCGCTTAAATTCAGAAATGTTAGATACCAATGAGGAAAGCTCATTAGAAAAAAAAATATTTATAGAAAAGGCACCAGGATTCTACGTTACAGCCGTGGGAGTGTGACTGAAGACGAGAGATGACAAGTCAGAACCAATAAAATTAATAATTCTTCTTAGTATTTTCTCATGTAACTTTAAATTAAAAACAGGAATGGTTGACAGAATAGGGATTCGGGGATATAGCAGAAAGACATTCTTTACTAAGAGCTATATAGGGTAGGAAATTGTGCAGAGCTATGATTACATACGTCTTCAAGGAACACGGCACACACTAGAAAATGAATGTATGAGTGAATTTCAAATCAACCGAAACATGTGTCCAGAACAAGCTTCGATAAAATGTATCCACAAAAAAATTATTTGATAATTGTTTTGTTGGAAGCCGAAGGTGCACAAATTACATTTCAATTTTGTTTAAAGACGAACGAAATAACTTTTTATTTTGTTTTGTTTTTTAATTGCACCACTCGTTTAAGTATTTTTTCTTGTTTCCGGAAAGAATTTAAAATGAAATTCTTCACATTCTCCCCGGAAACGAGAAAAATGGAACAAACTGTGGAAAAACGAAACTAAAGATTTTATAACAAAAAAATCCCGTTTGTCTCAAGACATTCATATTTATTTGGTTGAAGTCGAATTGTGACCGAGTAAGATCACATCTAACCACTCATAAATCAGAAACGAACGTTTTTGAATGATTTCCAGGTTGTTGGTGGTGGCTTAAGTGACTCATAGGACATGCAAGGGACTTACAGCCTTTCCGCATTGAATACAGACGAAACTTTCGGCAGGAATCTAATGATCAAGATGTTTACTTTTATCATGGTAAGTGAGCCTATTAGCTGACCTACACACTTGGTCACAAATTCTTCACAAGAGTTGTTTATGGATATGGATAACATATTGCGAGATGGGTTTGTTTCTGTGGCCATGCTTGTGACTGGGGAGGCCATATATATATATATATATATATATATATATATATATGTGTGTGTGTGTGTGTGTGTGTGTGTGTGTGTGTGTGTATGCACACACACATATACTTAAAGCGAGAGACTACGCGGTCGAGTTTCCGTATAGTTTAAGGAATTACCTTTAATTACCTTTAAAAGTTCCGACAGTCGTCAAAAACAAACAGTTGCTCTGGATAATACGCGTAACAAGGATTTGAGCACAAATGCTAATGCGATTGCATAGATTTCGGTGTTTTTACATGTGTTCTATCAGTATGACGTTTACTTAGCATTATTCACGACTTGCATTTAATTTGTCAAGTTATGAATGTCATTTGGCAAATCTGAACATTTGTACCCGAAAATGAACGGGATGTCAAAAGGACAGTTTTTTCATTGACTCCGCTATTATTTTAACTACCTTCACTCCTCAGAAATGTTTATAGTTTTAAAAAATGATTATTATAATTGTACTAAAACCTAAACATGTGAAAGTGAGTTTATACATTTTCTATCTTCTGGAGAATTGACAACAAAAATAATAAGCGATATTTATTTATTTATTAGATAGTTTATTTACACTGTTTATTTATTAGATTCTTAATTGGAATAATTGGAAAAACCTCGGCTAATTGCCAATTGATTCGAATTTTATAAAATGGTAAATAATAAGGATTTATTTATAGTTGGTTCATATATTTTGATAATTTATTAAATGTTTTAAATTTATGAATAAAAAATTGTTTTCCTGATTATTACTTTAAAATTAGTAAATGATAAATATTGCATTGCCTTAGTTTGAACTGTTTTATTTTTGTAAGTTGCAAATATAAAATTATTCTTGTAAATAAACAATCTAATAAATAAATAATGTTTAATATTTTTGTTTTAAATTCTCAAGAACAAAAATAGTATAACTTTATTTTCATCATATATTTAAGTTTTATTACAATTCTAATCATCGCTTCTTAAAACAACAAACATTGTTGAGAAGTAAAAGTAGTTAAAGAGGTGTTAAGAGAAAAATCAGCATTTGGGGGTTTTTTGCGGACGCGAAGGGCCAAATTCGCCTGTCTCTGTCTTCTTTGAATTGCATCAGAGAATATGCAAGACAGGACATTTAATTACGTAAGTGATAACTCTCTTTAGTTGTCGAGTTAACATGACCCAAAATATCGCAAGCGTAATAAGTTCGAACATTTTGGAGTGCTCCACTGCTGGGGCCTTATGCCAGATTCAGTTACAGTTAATAAACCTCGCTATATCTATGTAGATGATTGTGAGGCAACGGAAGGGAAATCGAATTCAGCTCACCCTTTGCTATTGTTGTCGGATGAGATCACTGAAAATGTAAGTAATTGCCAGCGGCTGAAGATATGGCAGGTGAGCAAGTGTCTTTTTACGGCGTCTCGGTTGGTACAATTCACGCGGCAATAAAGCAATATAGTGCATATGCACGTGGGGGCGACACCGCTGATTGACTGAGAAGTCTGGGGTCGCAACAAGGTGTTAGAAGCGTTACGCATATAAAATGGGCAAAAAGATCCGGTTAAAAGAAAATATATGAAGATGTGAGCGAAGGGATAGAAAAAGAAGAGAGAAAAACAACACGAAATAAGATAATATCTAAGGTTAGAAAGTGAATGAATTGTACATGAAAGAAAGAAAGAAAGAAAGAAAGAAAAGTAACTAAAAGATCGATAGAAAAAGAATGAGAAAATAGTGAGAAAGAAAGAGTACGAGAAAGAAAGAAAGAAAGAAAGAAAGAAAGAAAGAAAAGTAACTAAATGATCGAGAGAAAAAGAATGAGAAAACTGTAAGAAAGAGTAAGAGAAAGTGAGCAAGAAACAAACAAACAAAAGAAAGAAAGAAAAAAAAAGAAAAGTAACTAAAAGCTCGATAGAAAAAGAATGAGAAAAGCTTGAGAAAGGAGTACAAGAAAGTGAGAAACGAAGAAAAGAACAAACAAACAAAGAAAGGTTAGAACGTCAATAAGTTATACATGATAAATCTGAAAGAAAGAAAGAAAAATAAAGAAAGAAAGAAAAGTAACTAAAAGATCGAGAGAAAAAGAATGAGAAAAGTGTGAGAAAGAAAGAAAGAAAGAAAGAAAGGTTAGAACGTCAATAAGTTATAGATGAAAGAAAGAAAGAAAGAAAGAAAGAAAGAAAGAAAGAAAAAAAGAAAGAAAGAACTAAAGCAAAATCGAGAAAAAAGAAGAAAGAAAAAAAGAAAGAAAGAACTAAAGCAAAATCGAGAAAAAAGAAGAAAGAAAAAAAGAAAGAAAGAACTAAAGCAAAATCGAGAAAAAAGAAGAAAGAAAAAAAGAAAGAAAGAACTAAAGGGTGGTCAGAAATTGAAACACAGAATAAATAGAAAAATTAAAAGTAATCATGAGCAAAACTGCAACAGCTGTCTTCTTAACTTCCGAGTAAAAGAAAGAAAGGTGAGAGAATAAAGAATGTACGACAAAAAGAATTGGAAAATGGCAAATAATAAAGAATTCAGGAACAGACTGTCCGTGACAAAAGTTCTCAAAAGTAATCAAAAGATGAAAAATATCTTAACAAAGATTTTAAAAAAAATGAACAAAAAAGAAAAGAAAAAGAAAAATTCTTCTTCTTGTATGCGCCGTATTCTTTCAGAATGTAGGCGACCATGACTCCCCTCTACTCCTATCCATTGTAGCTCTCAATAAGTTTTGTCTTTTTCTTTCTTCTTCTAGACCCTGTACTACCATACATTGGCTCTAGCCCGTTATGTATGCCACACGTTGCTTTCACTTGTCTCTCTTTCCCTCTTTTTGTTTTAGATTTACCTTTCGTTTATTTTTTGAGTTTGTTGTTTGATTTATCTCCCCTGCCACATCATTTCATGTTTCATGAAATTTTGTATATATTTTTCTAAAGAAACTTTATGAACATGATTATTTTATACATCATGTTGTGTTTTGTAGGTCCCTTATGAATATGTGGTATTGTGGTACATATAGGATTGGGAGGTGATGGACAAGTTCTTGCACTGATTGAGTGTATTGTATTAAAAGAATGAGTCGTGATTGCAGTTAACTAGGACTAGGATAATCAGTGAAAGACCAGCCTATCCCCCACGTCCCCTTCGACTTTGTGCCACAATTTTGTATTCTTTTACAAAATAAATATTCTGTTTCCCTCTATCGGCCCTGTAAGTATCAGATTTCTCATTACGTGTCCCATCCTGATGTTCAGTATAAGTTTCCTCTTTGTTTGCATCTTCTCCACGACCTCATCGTGCTCACATGTCAAGTCCATGGTATCCTTAGCATCCTTCCGTAGAACCACACATCTCTTGCCTCGAGTCTCTTCCTCATCCTTGAGGAGATTGTCCAACATTCGCTACCGTAAAGGAGGACAGATATCACGTAGCAGTTCAGTACTCTTTTTCTTTGTTACCAACGAAAACCTTCTGTCTCGTAATACTCTCTATAGCTTTTGGAATGCGTCTTTGGGGCATCCCAATACCTCTTCAGATCTCAGAATCGCAATTTCCGTCCTCTGTTTGATATTAATGTCCCCGACCTGAAAATCGCATTTCGGGCTCATCCTTTTACTGATGACCATGCATTCTGTTTTCTTGTAGTTTATGCTTTGTCCTTTCTTCTCGCTGTCCTTCGCTACATCATGTAGGATGTTTTATACACTGATTTCAAATCACGAAATGGTTGAAATAGTAATATATGACCTTAATAAAAACATAGCCCTCTGCTCAAGCTTAGTTAGCTTGCCGTATGTAAGCAAAGCAAGTAGCTATACTGCACCAGAAATTGAGGTCACAGAAGTGATACGGCAATTTCCTGGGATCTCAAAATCTGTTTTCATATATAAAATATTAGATAATTTCCGCCTAGGTAGACCAACTCCAACTATCATCCTAATTACTAATCATTCGTAGTTGGTCGACTGGAAATCTCACAAACCTAGCTTACGGATTCTACACTTTGATCCAGGCCCCCACTTTGATCCAATCCACCCACGAGGATAGAATGGGGCACAAGGCCGGTTTAATGTGGGTTTCTCCGAGCCCGTAGACTCAGCCAAAAATATAGCCTTTTTGAACCCGCCTAGACGTATTCAGGCCCTGTCTACCTCCCCGAACGAAACCTTGCCCTTCGGCAAAGCTTCGTCCGGGTTCCTCTCTGCTAATGCAGAGAGTTCGACAGACGCCGACTCGGAAGCTCACAAAGGCAGCGTACTACACTTTGATCATTGCCCCCAGGCCGAGCAGCTTGAGTTTTGTCGGGAAAAAGGGGCTAACAATATATGGAAAGGTTTGCTCAAGTACTTCCAGGCTAGAGGGAGTAGAAAACCGTAGATATAAAATTACCCCTCATGTTGTTCGATGTTTGGGTAACACTGCCTTAACCGATGCTATCAAGGTACGGTTTTGGATTCAACCATATTGGGCCAGTCGTCCAGTTTCTCGCGTTGAGATCGGGGGTTGTGAATGTCAAGGTCGTTTTTCTCAAGAGCAGTAAATGGCGGCCGCGACATTCTGTTTTATTTTCAAGCGAATTTTTTAAATAAGATTTTAAAATTTACTGAATTTTATAAGCACATACATTCATAATATTAGTTTCTATTGATATGGGGAAATCCAACCATATTAACAAGGGGCAGCGGGGTATTCATTTGGTGTTCACTAACATAACTTAGTTTTAGTAGTGGCAGCGTACACAGAGTTTTAAAGGAAAAATACTATACTTCTTCGTGACAAGTCAAGACAGCACAAGGAAGATAAGATAATTTTTTCGGTTGTTCTACCTACGCCGCTATAGTTACCTGACCTTGCATCAACAGATTATTACCTTTTCGATTGTTTCATTTGATGGAGAAAACCTTTCTCTAATGAAAGCCAGATACCGAGAGTTTGTTGAAAGATTTTTCACATCAAAATCCTGCCGAATTTTATTCAAACTAGAATGTTTTTGCAACATGCTGGGGTGTATTGAAATCTTCACAGTATTTAGTATTGTTGCACTTATTGCTAACATTTTTTTTCGAGACTTTTGAGATGATGTGACTAAACTTTTGACCGGTGTTTATCGGTAAAAAAAAAAATCTCCACAGACCAGTCAACAATAAACACCCAATCCCTTCACCAAACTGCTATCAATATATATTTTTCTTCTCAAACAAATGCAAAAAAAAGGAAGTAACGTTTCACATACAGCTTGCCTACAAGCAGGATTGTTCATGACTATTTTCGATTCCAACCCGTCGATGTGCAGTTGAAATGCATCTTTGTAGTGAGTAAAATGGTTTTATCTATATGATAAAATTATAATAAATAAATAATTATCGCTCTACTATCGGTATCGAGCCCTCTTTTGGATTAATACTGTGAACGTTGGAATTTATATATTACTTTCGTTCTCATCGGATCGGATATATATATATATATATATATATATATATATATATTAGATTAAATATAGACAAAACCATTTTACTCACTACCAAGATGCAACTTGGTTTCAGTGCATTTCAACTGTACTTCGCCTCACCCATCGAAGTGCAGTTGAAATGCACTGAAACTAAGTTGCACCTTTGTAGTGAGTAAAATGGTTTTGTCTATATGATAAAATTATAATAAATAAATAATTATCGCTCTACTATCGGTACCGAGCCCTCTTTTGGATTAATACTGTGAACGTTGGAATTTATATATTACTTTCGTTCTCATCGCATCATATATATATATATATATATATATATATATATATATATATATATATATTATAATATATAACCTTCAAGATAGGACATCTAACATAGACCTGTTTAACCTGTTTATTGGAGGAATCGAGTTACGGTGGACTGGTCATGTCTTGAGAATGTCTGATGACAGGATACCCAACATTCTAATGTACAACCAGTTAGATCAAGGCTACAGGAATGTAAGACGTCCATAGCTAAGATACAAAGACAAGCTGAAAAGGAACTTGTCAGCTGTCAATATACCACATAACACCCATTGAGCCCTTAGCCTTAGAGCGGGTAGAATGGAGATCAACGTGTTTTAGTGGACTCAGCAGTTTTCAATATGCTTGTCTGAATCATCTTCAAGAAGCGAGAGCAAGATCTAAAATGTCAGCCAATCTAACAGTGATCTCATCTCACAATCCTCACTCTTGCTCCATGTGTGGCCTCCTTTGTAAATCACTAGTGGGTCTTAAATGTCACTTAAGATTATCGCACAAAATTTCATAACTGAATCAACTAAGCTGTCAGATCCTCATATGTCGAAACTCACGGGAGATTCCATTATAATATAGAGAAAGAAAAGTAAGATATGTAATCCGGTGTTCTTATTAATATTTTTATTTTTACAAAACAGTGCTCAATTCAAATCTACTGAGCATAAATATTATAAATTTACTTATTTAAAAATATGGTTCCATCGCTACACAGGAGTTACCATATTTCAAAAACAGAAGCTAAAAACTTCAAATTCAATAATAGAATTAAATTAAAGTCCCTTGTTCTGTTTCATTTCCAAGCGAATTTTTGGAATAACTTATTTTGAAATTTACTGAGTTTTATAAGAACATACATTCATAATATTAATTTCTATGGGTATGGGGAAATCCAATCATATTAACAAGAGGCGGTAGCGTATTCATTTTCACTGACAACTAATTGCATCAAAATAAGAGTTACTTTCGAAAAGAGGTTAATTCAAGGTAGGATAGAGGTCTCTTTCAAACGAATGATGACATCCATTCAATACATGTCTGGTCTTTTTCAACGACAAAAAGGTTTTCGGCACTTTGGTTTCGCCGTTAAATTTGTACTTGTATACATAAAGTTTTTTTGTTTTTTTTCAAAGGGTTGTTTGTATGTGAATACGTCGTACTGAACTACAATTTTAAAATATTATTCTTAATTTAATTACTAATAAACTATAACTTTTAAAACAAATAAATGTAGTAGAATTACTTAAATTATTTAAAAATTATTATTTAAATATCAACTATAAATATTTATATTTCATTTATTATATATATGTGAAAATTATAATTATATTAAAAAAAGTTATATTTTAAAAAATTGAAGTACTGTACTGTGGACCCTCTTAAATGTTCACACTTCTCCCCCAAATTTGGTATTTGGGTCGGTAAGTGTATGGCTTTTATAGGTGTGAGGGACAGAATAACAGGCGGACTAACGAAGTCAAAGAATTTTATATATCGATAGACAAAATCTATCGAAGAGCTGTCTGATAAGTGCCAACATGTCAATGGTTAATATAAAATTGAATAAAATGGGATTGAACTTTACTTATTGAGAATAAACTTGATGAACAAAAACTGGAAAATATTTATGACTCGCCCTAATAGAAGCGTTTGCATTTAGTATAAACTTTACATCTTTTGAGATTATAACGAACTTGATTTTGCATCGTAGTGAGATACGTTTAGTATACATCAGAAAATGGGCAAATATAAAACAATACGAAAAGGAACAGGTGAAAAACGAAAACAAAGCCGGAATAAACAGACAAGAGAATCAATAAAATGAATAAATGAATAGAAGCAACAGAAAAATGGGTTGAAATTAGAAACAATGATAAGACAATTATAGAAAAAAATTAGAAAAAAGAAAAGATAATTTAATAGTCTTTTGAAAAAAGAAAGCGAAATAAAATAACCAAAATGAAAATAAAAAATATGAGGGCTTGGAAAATTAAAGATATCACTTTGCACAGTTTGATATAAAATAAATATGAACACCTAAGATCAAACAATTAATTTCTCTTATGGTAGGATGGTTTTCGTCTGTTTTTTTTTTTTTTTGTTGTTGTTTTTTTTGGGTGGGGGGGTGTCTTTTAAGCTATTATTAAGCAACAATAGTTAAAACGAAATAACTGCTAGTCAAAACTTAATACTGGTTGACATTGTTTCATTTAATAAAAATTCAAGATAATATTACAAATGCTCGAAATTTGTTTTTCAACAAAAATTGTCGACATAAATTCTACAATAACTTGCTGCACTCCGATTAGGTTAAGAAAACCACCAGAATCTCAAACAAGACCATATAGCTTTCATTGATCTTGTTCTCAGAACGCCTCATACGCTGCTATTTTTGTTTACAAAGAAATTAAGAATAATTAACAATAATTCTTTTACAATATTTAAGCGCTCTTTCTGTCGTTGATGTTGCTATTTATAGTCAGTTGTTTATAAAATTGTTGGAAAACTGATCCGCGCGACCACATCATGCCATGTACTTTGTTAATAGTAATAAACAATATCTGTCTATATTTCTGAGATGAGGTATTATGTATATTATTTACATTATTCGGACTATTTTCCTCATCTTCGTCTTCATATTTATTGCTAGGCCACAAAAAAATCTCCTGAGCCGACCAAGTATAGAAATGAATACAATATGGGAACCAGTAATAAGGATTGCCAGAGAAAAGCGATAATAACAGCAAAAAATTGCAATATGAACACTGGTAAAAATAGATGGCTGAACACAATAGGATTATAATACCCAGAAATTCATACACAGATGTCCTCAAGGATAAATGTATTAGTTAGATCCATTGACAGGACCCAAAGAGTGTGAGTTCAATACCCAATTAAGGCAGTGGAGAACTTTCAGAGGGGAATTAACAGGAGATAACTGACATCCATTAAACATGGCACGTAGAACTAGAACAGTCTACCCCAGTGAGCGAAATAAAGGGTTCAGTTCGACATTCCAACTACCTGAAGAAGGCCGGAGCGTACAACGGCCGAAACGTTGTAATAAATATGGCGACAAAGATGAGGACAATAGTCCGAATAATGTAAGTAATAAAAATATTTAGTAAACGTATATTTTGTTTATTTATTACCGTTTATATATGAATGTTTTTCAACGTTAAATTGCATGCATGATTTTTTTTTTTTAGGTACAGACCTAATAATAAAAAAGAAACTGAAAAGAAAGCATGCCCAGAACACAGAGACGAAGCGGGCCTCAGAGAACGGATAAGGAAAACACCCGTTATACTGTTCAACCCCCACGCCCTACGCCTACGTGGCAATTTCGTTCGCTTATAGCATTAGGTTACAACCCAAGAATAAAATTTGATTTACTGCTAGAAATTGTTCTGTTTTTCAATCGTGGCTGATTATCTGGCCGAATAATAATTTTTAAGCCACGAACGTTTGACTGGAAGAAATTTCACCCTGTCAACGAACCTGGTATCTGGTCTGAGCAGCAACGCAACATGTGCTTTAAAGGTAAATAGAACCTTGCTTGGTTGTGAAAGTCTGCGTAACCGAGCGGATAAATCACATTCACTTTAATAAGTTTCCTTGGGTGTGCAGGCAAATAAACGAAACAAATAGTGTTTAAAATAAAACCGAACGTTTACTCAAATACGGGCATCCATTAAAAATAAAGCTTGAAATAATAAAAATATGGCGAGTTAAAAAAAAAAAAAGAAAATCCACTAATTCCATATATATATATATATATGTATATATATATATAATCGTGTACGGCACTATATATGGAGGGGTGCGTGCGTGTGTGTGTATATCTGCATTTATATTTATATGATGATATTGATGGAATTCTGTTGAGGCAAACCTTTGCAGACTTCGACTCTTTCTGGATTGGGCGTTGTAAAATCCTTTTCATTTTTTCGGAGTTTTCCCCACCCGCCAAAGACATCAATCCCCCTTTTTTTCTCTGATCTGTAAAGTTACCATTACTCTCTCTCTCTCTCTCTCTCTCTCTCTCTCTCTCTCTCTCTCCCGGTGCTTGAAAAGCGTTTGCATTGAATAAACCTGACTTAACACTGCATACTTAAATAGATAGGTAGATAGATATGGAGCAGAATAAGACATACAAATTAGATAGATAATGAGCAGAATGCGATAGATAGATAGATAGATAGATAGATAGATAGATAGATAGATAGATAGATAGATAGATAGATTATATACAGAATGGGATAGATAGATAGATAGATAGATAGATAGATAGATAGATAGCTTAACGTAAAATTTCAACATTCCACATACACCGCACCCTCTTTGATCGTACGTATGGGAACCGTTGTTTCAACATGATATGGCCATTAGCCACGGCTAATCTCTCATTATTTTATTAAATGCTAAATAAAAAAGGACATCCCTTAGTTGTGCAAATTTTAGAATGTTTGCCAAAGAGTGTAGCAGAATCCAGTCGAAAATAAGACTAGAACAATGTGGCTTTGTTCAGGGCCCTGGAGCAAGAAACGCTATCATTGTCATAATTCTGACAGAGCAATAAATGTGCAAAAATATATGTTTCCTAAATTACATCAAAATATTTGACAAAGTACGAGTCGAAGAAGCCATTGGAATTTTATGGAAACTTGATCCCACTAGAATTCGGTATTCAGATAACCTGTAACAAACAGTTTATGTGCGGATAACGAACATGCTGAGTGAATACGCCACAAAAAAAAACCCAAAAGATGTATCCGAAAATGTTACGTTTTATTACAGGATTTATTTAACGTTTATAGCGGGATGATTCTAAAGAGACCTGAAGACTTATAATGATTTATTGTCGGTGAACGCAACATTACGATGCTATGCTGTGAATACTGTGTTGAAGGCAGATTGAGAAGTAAAACGGAAAGAAAACCTTTAGAAAGAATGCTTGAGGGAAACAGAAAGAAAGGATTAACTGGAAGCTAACACTTACAGCTAATGCTTGCAGTTGTAAGCATTAACTGTAAAAAGAGAATAAATAGTTTTCAGAAAAAAGGGACAACCCAAGTTTCAAGCTATTTTGGTTTTGTTTCTCGTTGTTTCACTGTCAAGTAAGGCAATGAAGACATTAGGACATAAGGGGTTACTGAGTGTGAAAGAATAAGGAAATGAAAAACATCATTAAGGAGCGAGAACAATGCAAGACGTTGAACCGAGAAGACAGAAGATAACGAATGACGTTGCATTTAATATTTTAAAGATGAAAATTGGCTGGAAAGCGAGAACCCGGAAGAGAATTGCATTGGCGGGTAATGCGAAAAAACACTGTTAGCATAGTACTTACGATTGCATCTTACCAATTCAACTGTAAATTTATGTGACTTTGTTACCAATCTAGTACTCGCACTTAAATTCATATAAGTATAGGTTCAATAGAGGAAAGTTCATCAGAACAATTACTATGAAATATATATATATATATATATATATATATATATATATATATATATATATATATATATATATATATATATATATATATATATATATATATATTAAAGCGTTTCACCCTAAGCAAGGCGGGAGGCCAGTAGCACGCAAGGGGTTACAGAGAGTTGGACCGAGAGCAAATAGGAGTGATAGAGGAAAGGATGAAGAGAAGGTTAGGGGATAGATCAGGGCATCTGGAGACGTCGATTGACATTACATTTGAATAGTTGGAGATTATAGCTATCAGGGAAACAGGAAAAGGGGAATGAGTTCCACGGGTGAGAAATGCGAGACATGACGCTATTGGAGTAGAAAAGACGACTACATTTAACAGTTTCGACAGTGAAAGAGTGAGAGCAAAATTCCAGCCTAGTTGAACGCTTCATGAAGTCTGGGAACCAGCGAACGCAGCTCATCGAAGCAGTTACCGTGAAAGTATTTGTAAAAATGACAGAGGGAGGCGACGGTACGTCTGTGTGAGAGCAACTGCAGACGAGATGCCACCTCAAGGCTAATTACATTGCATATCCATCTCTGGATTTTATCAAGGACTTTGAGACAAAAAGAAGGAGCACCAGACCATATATGGCAGCAATATTCCATGCAAGGGCGAATGGTTGATTTTTAGATTTGAAGGATCGACTCCGGCGAGAAAAATTTCCTGGCACGGCACAGGGAGCCAACTTTCCTTGCGGTGGACGAAGCTATTGACTCAATGTATTTTTTTCCATCTCAGGTCAGCAGTCAATGTGAGACCGAGCAGTCGCAAAGAGGTGCTCTCGTGAAGTTGATCGTCAGACATTCTAATGGGGTGGGGCAGGGATGGTTCTCTGTGATGAGCAATAGAGAGCAGTTTTGTTTTTGAGGCATTGAAGTTAATCAGCTAATTCAACATGGGAAAACTACATAACGACTGTGGAAAAAATGACTGAAGCCGGGATGCCAGTTCGGGACTAATGATAATGCAGATTCTTCTTTGGATTTTATCAAGAATCTCTAAATATATAACAGGAGCACCAGACCAGATGTGGCTGCAATATTCGAAGCGTGGACGAATGGCAAACTTATAAATATGTAAGATAGATTCAGGAGAGAAAATTACCTATCAATGGCATGAAAATCAAATCGATGCGGATAATTAACATTTGGGGCAGTGTACAAGCAAACAGCGGAAACTGTGACGTAATCCGAAGGTGCGTAGGAATAGCGAGAGACGCTTCCAGAAACGTTATCTAAATATTAAGGCGACGCAAAATGTCATTTGATTTGTTTTTTACCGATTACCAACCTTTCACGGACTATTTAAAGCCAGAAAATTGTTTTAGATAATAAGAATTTTTTTTTTAAATAATAATGATTTACTGATAAAAGTTTTACTAATTAACCCATACCTGTGGGTAAAAGAGGGGGATTCATACATTTCCCGACTGGAATTGGAACTTGCCACTCCCATTTCTCATTCCCAGCCATTGTCCATTACACCATTCGCACATCTGAGATTATGGCACCTGGTACTTCCAAGCGGACACTCGTCTAGATACTAACCAGACTCGACGTTTCTTAACTTCATTGATCACACGAGAACCGGTGTTTCGATGTGATGTGGCTGTAAGCCAAAATATCATGAGAAACAAAGAAAAGAATGCTGGACTGATAATATAAAATCTCCTATATGTAAGCGTATGTGGGACAATCTCCTTGTAGATGAAGAAGAAATTTTAATCGACACAGAGAGTTCGACCAGCACAGCTGGAGACGAATGAATCTTCAAATAATTCCAGAAGCAAAGGTTATTTACTTTACCTCCCCGAGAGGCAGGATGTGGCACAAGACCGTTTTTTAATGCGGGGAAAACCGAGCCCGTACGCTCGGGCAAAATTCCTCTGTAAACCCCGCTTACACGGGGTTGGGTTGCTGTCTACCACCCCAGACAAGACTCTGCCCTAGCCTCATCTGGGTCCCTCTCTGCACGAAGGCAGAGAGTTCGACCAGCACAGCTGGAGACGAGTCTCAAAGACAACGCAAAACCCCAAGGTAGATCCTGTTCTCACTATATATATATATATATATATATATATATATATATATATATATATATTGACATAGGCGATAGGGAGTGTGGGACATTACATTACAACAGCTAGCACACCAAAATCTGGGAAAAAAAAATAAACATGGTTCATATATATGGTTACGTCCATGCGTATCAGTTACTCGAATTTGAAAAAGATTTAATTTCGCTCCAATTAAACTTAGCTCATATGACTGAACGCAGGCCGACAATGGTAGCCATTACATAAGTTGTTTTTTTTTAACTAAATGAACACAATTCCTTTTTTTTTTTTTTAGAAATGAACACAATGTCCTAAATAGGACATCTGGCAGCCTTAAATGCATTTACAAGTATGCATTTACATAAATGTACACATGTACTTTACACTTGCCGCAATTTGTTCGTAAATGAGTGTTTTTCCAGCATATCCTATAAATGCTCTATGGGATTGAGAGCTGGGGACTTGAGTGACCAGGGTTAATTGTCGTGTTGAAATATGCTTCAGCCATTTCCAATCAGATTTATGGAGGCCGTACGTGACAAGTTTCGTTATTTGTCTTCGTTCGACACCCACAGAGTTCCCCTGTCCTTTATACTGCAATTATACTGAGAGGACCTTTGCTCTTGGTCAGAATTTTGAACAAACTTGACTTGTGACTTCGTGCTAGCTGAGATCACCAGGGTGAGATTCGAACCCGGGTCGCATGTTCAGAAATCGAATGTTTAGAACCACTCGTCTACACGCCGATATACAGGGAGCAGCAAACGTAGGTATACAGTATGTATTATACCATTACTGATATTATTACTGATATGTTATTAATATGTTTGCATAATCAATACAATACGCTTTGGGTGCATCTTTTTTATTGTTTCCCTATATCTGCATACCTTTATGTATATATGGGCCACAATTTTTAAATTTATACAAGTTTAAATGCTAGCGAATGTACCTTATTAATTATTTTTATTTATTTTTCAATGTTTTTGATTCAAGTAAACTGCACGTTAAACGGCGTGACAATGTGGTACTTGCGAAACCAACATATGTGTTCTTTTTGAAAAAGCATTTTCAAACCGATAATTCATTGACAACGTTGGTTTGTTGAAGATTTGATTCATTGGTGATTATCATGTCGGAGGTTTTTAGTTTGTTTTTTTTTTCTAATAAACCTTGAGGTTATTTCTTATTTTTAATTGTGTCACGAGTTGATATATATATCTATCTTATAAATTATATGTCCGTGAGTTTATGTAAAACTGAAAATTTCTCGGCACGAGCAAAAAGAGACTGCTTTTTTTCTCACATCGACTATAAATCCTTATATATTTCATCGAAGTATCAGATATTAATAAAGTAATCAAAGTATAAATAGATCGATAAATAATATCAGAAAAGGACGTTGAACTGCATTGTTATGTCTTATATGGCAGTAAAAACTGAAGAATTTTGTCACAAATGTAAAAGAGATGTAAGGAACTGACAATTTTTCACCAGTGAAAGAGATTCAAGGAGCCATAAGTTCCTGCCTTTGAGATTGTGTATAAAAATTTGACAACGCATGCGACGAATAGGAGAGTTTTAAGGATAATATGAAAGGACGGGCGAACATTTAAGGAAACACAATAAGGGAAGGAGGCTTGGAGAAATTTACACTCACAGGATGCAAAGATGGCAAAGCTGGCCGTGGTAAGTGGCAAATAACATACTTGACGATTTCGATTGACCAGGGCCCATTGTCTTGCATAAATATGCTACAGCCATCTCCAA